ATAGCTCCATCTCCACTCCCCACCCCTGCCTCCTCCTATCTGTCCATCAGCCCACATGGACCCTAGCATCTGCTTCAACCCCTGTGCCTGCGCCAGGCCCTGGGCCTCTCTATTCAAATTCTACAGAGATCCTGATTGGCCAGGCTCATGGGAGTGGCATCATGGAGTGAAATAGTCAGGTGATTACAACCTGGCAGCTGTGTTTGTGGGAGGGAAAGGGGAGGAGGACTGTGCTGAGGTAGGAAGGAAGGCTGACTATCCTGAGGAATCCACAGTGAGCTTTGCTGTGGTGATGGTTTTAATTTCACTCCTCAAGCTGTGGTCTGAAGATGTCCCCCACAGAGCCTCAGCCACAGGATGTGTCCTGTTGCTCAGCACCTGCAAGTGAACAAATGCATCCTAAAGCACTCACTGGTGATGTTTTTCTTCAGGGAGCCTTTCCACGCTGAATCTGTCCCCACTGGGCTGTCCTTCCTGCCAGTCTTAGTACAGCCCCTGGACTTGGTACTTGGAAAGAATCTTAGAAGTTATCAGGTCTAGCATGTTTCATGAACGTTTGTTTTCATTGGACCTTCCCCAAAGGGTTCCCAGGTCTGGTGAGTTTAAGTAACCCTGCTTCTAATACCCTCCTTTTAAAGAGTTGCAAAACTTGCTGCTCAGGGAAGGTTCTGACAAGTCTCACAGAGAAAGAACCTGTCTCCCTTTGGCTAAACCAGGACTGCCCAATGTTTCCTACAGAATCCTTTCTTTCACATAATAGCATCTCATAAAACCAGTGTTCAGTGGAACCCCTTTGAGAAATACTAATCCTTCCTTTGAGGTTATGGATGGTGAGTCTGGGTGTTATAGTCAGGTGTAGGTTGGCTGCATTTAACTGAAAACAAAGGCTTAAAAAACCAGGGGTTTCTTTCTGCCTTTTGTAAAAGCAGTCTGGAAATGGAGATGGTACCATGACTAGATGGGCTTCTCAGCCTGGCTTGGGGAGCCAAGGCTCCCTCCACTCAGGTGGTGCCACAAAAATTCAACTCAATTTAACGAACACATGGAGGAGATTCTGTAGCTGTCTTCTGGGGCTTCTTGCCTTAGCATGGGAATGGTCCAGGGGGACCCATCCCGGGGGAAGCCCAGCGTGCCCTGCATCATCTCTTAAGGACCCCCCAGTGCTGCTCCCACCCTTTCTCCTGCTGACCGGCTCTGCTCAGAAGCCTGCCTGTGGCCTAGTGCTCTGGTGACTCATAGTGTCCTGTGTTGGATCGTCTTTGTGATTCCTTCACTCTGTCCTGTGCCACTAACCGGTATATGGTTAGGACCCAGGATTTGGAGCAGTGGAGGGAGATTACAGCACAAGGCCAGAGCAGGTGGCACCTACCAATTGCACAGAAAAGCTCCCCACCTCCCTGGGTGCGCCCCTTCTTTAGCCCCTCCTTCTCACTCTCTCCTCATACACTCTGTTCGCCTTGAGACCTTTCTCTTTTCCTCCCTGATTGCTGCATCCAACATTTCCATTACTTCCGCAGAGCCCTTGAACTTTGTCCTCCTCACCCAAGCCAGGTCTTCAGTTTCCCACTTAACAATGCTGAAGCTTTCCAGAGAATGGTGAAATGAAGAAACTCCAGACTTACAAGGAACCAGTGGGGACTTGGGAATTAATTTGTCCCTTCACATATCCCAGCTCCCATCTTAGGGACCTCTACACTCCCCGGGGCTGAGTCCTTCAATATCCTTTATGGCTATGGGCAGGCCAGTACTGAGCACCACATCCACAGGTGTACATGAGGTGTGAGCCCCAGCCTATGGGGGTCTCCAGGAGGGCAAAGGCCTCTTCACAAAAAATGTAGGGAGTGTAGGGGAGTAGGGAGTCTGGAGACATCCTGGCTGTTCAGACCAGAGCCAAGCTCTTTAGGCTGGAAGGCTGAGGGCTTCCTCTAGGAAGTGGCATTTGAAGGGAGCCAGATCAAATGGCTTAACTTGAGGCGGGGTCAGTCAAGCAGGGCAATGCAATTTTTAAAAAAAAATCTCTTCATCTGACAGATTTCACCAAAACCAGCCTCACTAAACCTCCAGTCCCATGCAGTTGCTTGTTCTAATCTCTCTCTTATCTCTTCCTGGCCTTCTCTCCCATTCTCCTCCCCCAAAGGATGGGAAATCTTCAAAGAAAAAGATGTGTCACTGTAAGTATACAGATCAAGAAATGGGACAGATAAATTATTAAAACACATAAAAAGACAGTGAGTTGTGGGGTGGGAAGCCCTTAGAGGCCAAACAGCCACCCCAGTTAGATGGTGCTCTGGTGGTATCTGGGGAGTCCCCCCTTGGAGACCTGAGCAAGCTACCATTTCCCCACCACCAGGCCCACCTCTCTGGCTTCTCACCCCAGGGCCAGGTGTGTGCAGTGCGTCATGGTCAACAGCAGCAAAGTCCCAGGCGCCTGCTGGTCTGGGAGCCCAGGCCCAAGGTGGAGGAGGAGGGCCTCTGTGTCTGGCTGGACATTTGGGATTTACTTCCCCCAAGACTCTAACTGGTAACTGCAGAGTTTTAGTTCTTGCTTTTATCTCTTTTTGAACTGTAAAAAGAAATTCCCAAGGGGCAGAGGGGATACTGTTTTCTCATGAAAGAAGAAAGCCACGGCCAGTTTTAAGAAGGCAACCAACTTTCTAAGCACTGTGAGAAAGAGTTTTGCTTTGATTTCCATGCATCCTGGCACCAGTGGGGGTGCCAGCGAGAAAGACAGACAACAAGCACAAGGGAGTCCCTGCCTTCTCAGGGAGTCTGTGGGCCGTTGCCCCTCTTAGAGACTCAAAACGCCAGCCTCACTCCTCTGCTGGCCTTTCGCTCACTTTGCTTCATTTCTCTACAGCTCAGAACTCAGTTTCCCATCACTGACATTCTTTGTTGGGGACTCTCCTGGGCATTGTGGGCTGTTTAGCTTCATCCTTGGCCTCTACCAGATGGATAGAGGTCAGACATTGCCAAACATCTCCTGTGGGCAGAGTTACCTTCTAACTTCCCATACTATTTACCATTCATTGCATTTATTGTTTCTTGCCTATCTTCCATCCAGTACTGGGTGAACTCCACAAGACAGACATTTGTTTTCTGATAGTATTTCAAGTGTCTAAAGTAGTACCTGCCACAAATAATACTACTTGTTTCCAGATGGGGGACTCTCTCTTTAATAATGGGGTATTAGGATGGGAATGTGTTGGGAAAACCTGATGTAGTGAAAATGAGCATGAGCGATGGAATTGACAGACGGGTTTGCTTCCTAACTGGGCCGCTGACTAGCTGTGTGTCTGTGGGCAAATAACTCCACCTCTCTGAGCCTATTACATTCCCTCCTTTCTGTAAGTACAAATGGTTGTGAGGGCTAAGCATCACATAGGACTGCCATATAAATAGGTACTAGGTAAAGAAATGTAATACAAAAATGACAATACTACTGTTTGTGCAGTCCCAGCATTCCTCAAATGAAAGCGCCCAGCCAACAACATTAATGTGTCTACTTATAGGATTAGCCTTCATTTCCTCCAAACAGGGTGTGTAAAAAGAAACTAGGAGGATGGAAGAAAGACACTGCTAGAAGATGGGATTTTTATGACTCTGGAGGGCCACACAGTTCCCAAGTTCCCTTGGAGACACACAGATGTTCAGAGCTCTGCTGTGCAATGCAGGAGCCACTTGCCACTTGCTAAAGAGCACTTGAAACGTGGCTACTCTGGGTTCAGATGTGTTTTTGTTGTTTTGTTTTTGTTTTTGAGACAGGGTCTTGTTTTGAAGCCCAAGCTAGTCTGCAACTCATGACCCTCCTGGCTCAGCTTCCCAAGTACTGGCATGTGTAAAACAAAGAATGTCACATCTTATTCTACATTGAAATTTAATTTTGCATATATTGGGTTAAATAAAATGTCAATATTAATTTCATCTGTTTCTTTTTACTTTTTAAAAATGTGGCTAGGAATTTTAAAATTATAAACATGGATCATATATTTTTATTGGACAGTGCTGCTCTATAGAGTAGGCAAAAATGGCAGAACTGCATTTCTCCATTTCACAGCTTATAAAACCGAGGCTCACATAGAGAATTCAGCCCAAAGGGCAGAACCTTGCACTTTGAGCTCAGGGTTTTCTTTCCCACGCCCATGCGGCTTGATACTAGGACTTCTGAGCACAGGCCCACGGTGTCCCCAGCAGAGCAAGCATTCTCAGAACCACAAAGGTGGGGTGGAACCCCTTGATGTCGCCCTCCCCTCCGCAGAGACCTCTCTAGACAAAACAAACAAGTTCTTGGATCTGGCGAGCTGCAGCGGGGAGCGGAGACCAAGAAAGATCAAAGACCCAGTGGTTACCCCCTTCCGGGCCGTGCAGCTTGGCAGCGCGCCCCGACCCCAGGCGGGCACCCACGGGCCCCTGGATGAGGACATCCGAGCGAATGGCTGACAACTAGTGGCTTCTGGATATCTGTTGCCTCCAGGAATGTGCTGGACCACACTGGCCCTAGGTGCGATGGGGGATACTCCCAAATAAAAAACTAGAAGGGTCAGAGGAGCATGGGGAGGGAAATACACGAACACTTTATGCAGGCAGGGCGTGGGAAGACTGGGAAGGGGCAATGCCTCAGGGGTGCACCAGATGTCTGAGCCAGAGCAATTGAGGCTCTCCCCACCTCAGTGTCCCCACCTGTAAACTGGAGCCTCTGAGTCCTGTCCTGCCACTCCGGGGAAATGCACAGCGGAGGGAAGGCGCGGTCTGCAAGCGAGGAGGCGGCTGTTCTACCGAGGGCAGCACCGAGAGGCTGTCCGTCCCAGTTCGCCTGCTGGCCGGAGCCTCTGCACCAGGTCCCCACCCGGGCCCCTGGCCGGAGACCGCAACAGCGCGCAGGATGCAGAGACCAGCCCCTCCCGCGCCGCCCCGCCCCCGGCGCGCAGGCCCCGCCTCGCCCCGCCCCACCGCGGTCCGCCTCGCCTTTGATGCGCCGCGCCTGGCCAATGGGCGCACGGGGAGGCGCGGGGCCGCGGCGGCGGGCTGGGGGCTCGGCGCGCCCGGGCGTCAGTCGGGCCGCGGCGACGGCGGCAGGAGCGCGTCTCGGCGCCTCCTCGGGCTCCGCTTGGCTGCGGGGCTGCTCCGGGAGAAGCAGAGTGAGGCTAGGCGCGGGGCCCGCGGGCTGGGCGCATGGCTTAGGGACACCCGGCCGCAGCGCCCCCAGCATGGGGAAACTTCACTCCAAGCCGGGTCAGTGCCCTCGCCCGCGCGCCCGCCCCCTGCCTGGCGTCCTCCCCCCGCGGTCGCTAACTCTCTCCCTCTCCTTTCTTTCCGACTCCGCCGCCGCGCGCGATGTGCCTGCAGCCGCTGTGTGCAAGCGCAGGGAAAGCCCTGAAGGTAGGGGCGCGCGGGGCACCGGCTGGGGGATGCATGGGGTAGCACCGCGACCGGCGACGGGATGGCCCAGCCTGCTGGGTCTTATTACCAGGGCCGTCCCAACCCCCAACCCTCAACCCCGGCGACCAGTCTCCCAAACCCACTCCCGGAGCAGTCTTCGGGGCCCCTTCCTCTGTCGCTCCTACCTTTTTCCCGCAGTCCCGAGCTCCCACTTCTGATTCTAAAACCCTCCCCCTCCTGCGTCCTCATCCTTAGAGCTCTCTGGTCCCCATATGCATTACCCCAAGGCCTTGGCCCCCCTCTTTCCGGCCCCCAGCGCCTTCTCCGGAGATCTTGGCTTCTGATCCTGCTGCGCCGCCTCTCCTGACCCTCAGCCCTCTTCTCCGCAGTCCTGGCTTCCAGCGCTTCCTCTTCTGATCCCGGAGCCCCACTCGGGGTAACACCTTCCTCTCTTGTTCCCTTTTGCATCCTTGCTCTTGAGGTTTCACTGAATTCCTACTGATTACTTGCTTCTCTCTCACATTCTGCTAAGCTCTTGACCACCCCTGCTGACCCCTCTTTGCCTTTGCGGCGCCCTCCCTCCGCTCTCTGGTAACTTTTGTCCAGTCAGGAGGGCTCAGACTCAGGGGCTTCCTGTTGTCCCCGCCCCAGGTGACAGCTTCGCCGTGAGTGCTGCCTGGGCTCGGAAAGGCATTGAGGAGTGGATCGGGAGGCAGCGCTGCCCAGGGGGCGTTTCAGGACCCCGACAACTTCGGTTGGCAGGCACCGTTGGTCGAGACAGCCGGGTAAGGTCCACACTCTGCCCCACCCTATTCCCTTTCAGCCCCACACCAACTTGTAGCACCCTCAGCTGCCCCAATCCCACAGGCATGACCTGTGCCCCTTGCTTTTGGGGAACCTTAGGGGTCAGGCAGACACTGTCCCTGCCCTCTTGGGGCAGAGGGCTGCCAGCAGGTGGGGAGGTCCTAGGTGAGGAGGTGGAACAAGCGTAGGTGATGGGGAAGCTGGTCTGTGCTGGAGGGATTTGGGGGCTGGCTCTAATTTCTACCTAGTTTTTGTGGCCAGCATTCAAACGTGGGGTTGGAGGTGGGCTGGAGAGAGGAGAGACAGGAGAAGGGGTGGAGTGGGGGGGGGGTTGGAGGGCAGGGCTGTGCTGGCCCAGGATCTTGGCCACTTCCGTGTGAGTGTCTATGGCATTCATCAGTGCCATCTGCCATCTGAGTGGAGAGCTTGGGGGCACTGAGAGCTGGCGTCCCCTTTGTGTGGTCCACAAGGAGAGAGAGCGCCTCATTGTGTTGTAGCCTGTGCCTTCAGCCAAGGGCTTCGTGAGAGGCTGGACTTGTTCAGGAGGAGCAGTGAGTGTGACAGACAGTCCAGCCCCAGCTCCTGGCCTGGGACTGGTGTTCACAGATGTCCTGTGAGCTCCAGAACTCTGCACGGGGCTTTCAGATGGTCTGCGTGGAACTCTCGCAAGCTGAGGATCAAAGGATGAATCAACTTTTTGAAGTGACATTTAATTTTTTTTTTTTTAACTTAGAAGGGGAACAGAGTGAGTCTCAGGTCTGGTTAGTTCTTTGGTTTTGACATGGCTGGGGAGAGGCTGGAGAAGTGTTCAGGTGTGTGTGTGTGTGTGCGCTTGGGTGGTGGGCACAGGCAGCTCAGTGGCAGGGCCAGTGGTGGGAGGTGTCCTGTGTATGTGTGTAGTGTCTTCTGTGTCCAGGAGAGGCTCCTCTCTTCTCTCCACCGCTGCTTGGCTGGGGCTTTCTTTTCTCTGACTCTCCCCATCTGTTGGCTAGCTTGGAATTGGAGCTGCTATCCTGTCGTAAAGGTCAAAACTTGGTGGGTGGGGGGCACTGCATTTGGGGCCCTTTCAAAACAGAACTACAAACTTCTTCCCTCACCATTTCTAGTTTTTGATCTACTTATTTATTTAAAGGCCAATGAAAATGATCCAATTTAGCCATATGAACAAAAGCATTTGCAGCTCAAGACAGAGGCCAACTGAGTGGATTTCCATTAATCAAGTTTGGGGTTTCTCAGCCTGTTTATTTTTACAAAGTATTCCTGCAGAATGACATTTATTTGCAGTCCCTCCCTCCTTCTCTCTCTTTCTCTTTTTTTCTTTCCTAAACTGCCAGGCAGCTTTTGCTTCATGCTAGAGGGGAAACTTGAAATACAGCGAGGGCTTGCTTCAATTGACTTTTATCTTCAAAGCCATAACAAATGTTACCCGCATGTTTTTGGTAGGTCTCCTTGGCATCCAGTCTGGGAGGATGGGGGGGAGGAGGGAAGAAGGAGAGGAAAACAAAAGTCTGTCGTTTTTAATTAAATAGTAGTGTTCCCAGCAAGAGGAAAAGTTGCCATTGGGGGAAATGAGGGAGGGTGGGGAGGGGGCCCCAGCTTAAGTTTGTGGCTTTGGTGAAATCACGGAATTTTGTTGCCTGGGTTTCTTTCCCCAGCTAAGGACAGCATTGGGATGGTGCTTGTTTGTCTTCTTCCCTCCTGCCCTTGCCCCCTCTCTCAGAGAAACTCAGAGGGATCATAAATAGTTTTTCAAAGTACTTTTGAAGATGTGAGGCATAGAGCCATCAGCCTGTCATGTTGAGTGGTTGGAGGGTGAGCCCTGTCATCAAAGATGTTGGGGCGGAAGAGGGGTCCTCTGCTTCTTGGGAGTTGTTCTTAGTAACTGGGACCTGGATGCCTGGCTTCCTATTGCCGAGGCCCAAGATGGTCCTGGCACTGAATCTGCAGAGGTGCAGATGGTGAGCCTGCTCTGGAAGATAGTCGGGTGAGCCCAAGTTGTGGGGCAATACTGTAGGAGGCCTGCAAGATGATGTCAGGTGGTACCTGGATGAATAATTTTCATCTTAATAGGTACCTAGTTTTTTAAATCAGAAAACAAAATCAAGCTCATAATTTCGTGAATATTGTCTCCTAGGATGCAGCTAAACTGAAAGAGACAGTCTAATTTAAAAGTGATGTCATGTCACAACATGACAAGTAGTCATGTTGGGAATGTGAGAATGGAATGCCCAAAATTTAGGGAACACTGAAACTGGACAGGACAGCAGGGGCACCATGGGGTTCTGTTTCTTTTCCCTGATTCCCATTGGTGCCAAAGGGTGACTGGCAGGTTCTTCCTTGGTATCATTAGGATGGAGCAGTAAGTGGGCTCAAAGTCTGCTTGCTGGCTTCCAGGGCTGGCAGTGAGCCTCTAGCCAGCCAGGCTTGGGGTTGATCTCTGTTTCCACTCCTTTACCCGGCCTGTCACCAAAGTGACTGGGGACACATTAGTGGCTTATCCAACTAGCATTATTATTGTTGCAATGATAATGACTATTAAGTGCTGTGTGTGTCAAGCACTTTGCTGACATAATCTTAATCTCCCTGAAACCCTCTGGAGTTGCTAGCCAGCTGGTATGGACTGACTTTTCCTCCCTTCCTGAGCACTCACTAGGATAAGGAAAGTCATGTGTAGAGAAGCTATCTACCAGAGTATCCGCCAGGATAGTCAGCACATTGACTAATTCCCAGGGAGGGGCTGTGCTGCCCAGCTGCCCAGCCCTTTGACATGAGTTGGTACAGGGCAGGCAGAAGCAGGAGGGACCCCTGCCTGCCCTTTTCCTCCCTGGCAGGTCTGAGGAGCTCAACAAATGTTCTGGGTGGGTCTGCATTGTATATAAGGGCATGGGGTGTGAGAGGAGACCACGTGGGTACTAAACTAAGCCTGTCCTCCTGAATACAGAAGTAAATGAGGTCAGGCTCTTGTTGTCTTCTCACTTGTTGCCATATGCAAGCCATTTTACCTTTGTACACTTTGATCAGCTCATATGCAAAGTGGGTGTAGAAATATTCTCATCCGTGGCAGATAATTCTTCAACTTGAGTAGAATGTGGATGGAAATGGGGGGCCTGTAAGGAAAAATTATAATACCAGAGCTCTCTGCCCCCTGCACCTCTGCAGTACAGGCTCACTTGCAGGAACACAGCCAAGGCCTGGGCTTCTGTCTTTCCATGGGTACATGACAAAGTGCAAAAGAACATAAGCTCGTAGGAGAACAGTAATGAGAAATGGGAGCCTATGAGGACTCTGAAAGCAGAATAGACTGAGCCATGTATATGCCAGAAGGCCATGTGCTAAACAGAATGAGAAAATAAAATTAGCGTAACAATCTTCAAGAGATAATGAAGGATACTGAAAACAGGAAGCAGCAACAGGCAGTTTCAAGAGAAAAACAACTGCAAACATTGGGTTTGGGAAATGCAGTGGGTAACTAAAGCTTTAAAGCTGGGTAGAGAAGCAGAGGGACTCAGGTATGAGGTAAGACAACAAGGAGAAGTGGGGGGGCCCCTTACACATGTGCACGTGTGAGTGCGTCCAGCCAGATTGAAAACAATCTCCGTGTCCCCCACAGTGTGACCCTTTTGTTCTTTTATAGTAGAGCTGCCTGCAGAAATAGGCTGGGGGCTGGGGGCCAGTAGGCCCCCTCTAGATCAAAGGCAGCTGCCAGGCACATTGGTAATTTGATTAGGGGGCACCTAGCGCATTTTGATATTTGGAGAAGATTAGGAGGGTGCAGTCCTGCTGAGCCCTCAGGGATGAATGGGACTGGGTGATGAGATTGGAGGCTGGCCCAGCTGCTGCCCGGATGCTGGATTCCAGGGGAATTACCCTTGAATGATACCAGTTGGCACAATTAAAAGGCCCCATGTCTTCACCATATGGAAAGTGTTAGGCCTTCTTACGTGGTTTCAAAGCTATGTGCCGGGAGGTAGACTTGACATTTGAGGTAGAGCATAAATTAAATATTTGGGGTTTCAGAATTAAAAGATGATTTGCCTCAAGGCTGGTAGAGGCTTGGGGTAGAGGCATTGGGCCTCAGCTTACTGGTATCTCTGAGTTCTCCATGCCGGGTATCCTCTGCCTGTGGTACTCAGGGCCAGCTCTGCTGCCCAGCTTGGGTGCTGTCTGTATCCCAGGGAGTAGCAAGGAGTGACTTAGACAGCCTGAGCTGGGTCAAGTGCCACGTGCTTCTGCATGAGTCCCTTGGGTGGGTGTGGGCGAGGGTGTCATCTCCCACTGCTTCAGTGCATCTGTATGATGGGGTCTCTGATAGAGACTTTGTCTTTCTTTCAGAACTTTTCTGAGAAGAAGACTGGATCCCCCTGAGCCAGGCCTCAGGATCATTCTGTTTCCTAGATGTCAGGAACACCTGTCTGCATTCATGTTTTGTAGGAAACCCAAGGAAAACCAAATCCAGGGGGCATCCACTATGTGTCCAGCAAGGACCTAGAACTTGGGATGAGGGGCAGTGTCTTTCTTCCTGTTATGCAGTGGGCCTATCAGAGGTGAGGAGAGAAGGGATGGTGGGAAAGTGTTCCTCTTTTTACTGGGAAGCTCAGGCACATCTGCCCCCTTGGACACTTAAAATATCAAGGCTAAACTGAATTGGCTACTGAAGGAAACTTCTTCCCTGTAACATCCACAGAGCATGTAATAGACACTTATTATTATTGAATAAACGAATGAATGAAATTACATCACCATCCCTGCCCCTTTCTCAGCTGAGTTCTCTCCATTATTCCTGCTTGTAGGTTTCTTCTTTTTCAAGACCTGTCTGTCCTGAGTAGAAGAGTGGGACCAGGTCTTTCAGGCACTCAATTTAATTGATTAATTAGCTAATTATTATCAACAATGAGTTGTTATTCATTATTAACTAATAATTCCTTAACTGTGCCAGGCACAGGGGATGCAGAGAGAAAGGAGACGTGGTCCCTGTCCTCCT